GAATAATAAATTAGAAAACTAATTTGATCTATTAATGTAATCATTAGCAAATTTTAAATGTTTTTGTACATTTATTTTTAATCATTTTAATGACCCCCTAAATTTTTGTACGCGCAAATTTCTGTGACTTAAATTAATAATAATCTACTACATTTATATGAAGCTATATACTTGCCAATTTTTTCGAAATTTTCCAATTTCAAATGTTTCCTATTTCAATTTTTCCGCAATCGTAGAGGAGTTGTAAAAACAAATGGTAATTATTTCGAGAATCGCACGCACAATTTCATGACGTAACGCGGAGGACGAGGTCAAAAGTTCACGTGCTCCAAATAAGCGGCGTACCATGCTTCACTCTTGCCAACCCAACATTCCCGTAATTCTCTGAGAATAATCCAAAGAGCAATTCAAATCTCTATTCGTAAGAGAGTAAAAAAAGCTCTTAAAATTACAAAATTCTCTATGCGCATCAGCTTTTACGAAGAACTTAATAACAACCATATTTTATATATAATAATCAAATAATTATATATACAACATACTATTTATATATTTTATATATAATAATCAAATAATTATATATACAACATACTATTTTTTTTTATCGTCCATTTTGCACCATTCATACCGCGAAAGAACTGTATCATCAATTTCATTTCTCAGTCTCGTTTAGATATATTAAAAACTGATTTTACGTAGCTCAAAATGTATATTGGTAAAATCACTAGTTTTCAGATTCCTACATGGCCCTGGACATCCAACGTTCTTTTAGACTTCAGTTTAAGTACTGGATTATTTGTGGAGATACTTAAAAATTACTGTATGCTAGGAAAAAATACGAAATATGAGTTACGTAAAGAAATGAATTCGAAATGTAATTACAACATAATGTTCGATAAATGAACGCACGATTATCGTGGGTTAAAAATGTGATCATTTTCCTATCTATGGTAGCTTTGATATCACACTTTTATATACGTTATTGATATGTATGTTTTCTCGATGGGCATTTCATTAGTCTTTTTAACTACATTTTGCATCATAAATGATGCTAGAAATATCAGAAAACTTAATTTTTTAAATTATGAACAGTATAAAAAAATATAAAATATATGATTGTTGTTAAGAAACAATGTGTTGTAAATTTAAAAATACTTTTTAATCAATCCAATTTTACTCAACTTAATCTAACATAATGTAACGTAACTTTTGTTAACGTACAATAAAATTTTGTGACTTTAATATTTTTATCCCATTTATTTATGTTTGTTAACAACGTCAAAACGACTACTTGTAGGTGTATTTGTTTCTTTACTATTGCTTTCAGAGTTTAAGTTGCCTTTCAATCGCGTTAAAGTTATTACAATTTTTCTAAAAGTTACATTATATTTATTTTTTTTAAATAATGTATATCAAAAGGAATCGATATAAGTATAGAAAATTGTTTGAATGGCACTATTACGCCCAAGATATATCTGTCGCTTGATTTATTCCGTTCAATTCCATTCACACAGGGCTAACCTTTCTCGTCTATCTTCCTCCTAATCCAAGCCGCAATGTGTAAAACTGTTAAACGATTGCACATGAGATTGATTACGCATACGATTGCGTATAAGAGGGCTGCAGATTTATTGGTCCTTCAAATAGGATGTGAGTCGCGCTTAAACAACTTATCGCAAACATGCGACACAATGTGCGCACGTCAGAATACGTCTGTATGAATGTAACAGTGAGAAATGTATTCGATTTGTTATCACGCATTAGTACGATATATATGCACGGTTAGAAATACATGAGCTGATACAGCTTGTTGATAATAACTTTTACTTGAAAAAATTGTAACTGTAATTGTATATTAATTGTACATTTTATAAGAATAAACGCGAGTGAGGTGCGTTTTTACCGGTGGTAACACCAACGAATTAAAATTTTCCTCGAAATAGGCAACGGAAAACATTAAAGCGCAAGGTTTTGTACTTATTTTTGCGTGCGGCCCTCGCGCCATGAAAGATCGATATTCGCTCATAATTCAAACGGCGTGCGTATATTCCCTCCGCCTCTCCGCCACTTGACGTTGGCTCATTACGAGCACGAACTTTATTTCTTCTGCCTTAACCGTTGTTTCACTACTAACCCACTTTTTGTATTTTCCACGATTAGGTGACTGTTCAATTGGAGATTCGCTAGAAGCGAACGATATGTGGCAACACGAGATGCATCTACATACATCGCAAATCACCCCCCCGGCTATGACAGTGTTTACTTTGCAGCAAGGTAAACGGACTTCGAGCCGAGTACTCTATTCATTTTCTGCTTTCTATGCACTTGTTTTTCGCGCTTGCATAGAATTAAGAATCAGTTGAAATTTGTTTACGCATCTAGTAACTTTACTCTCTTGTCAAATTTTAAACTAACAATTCTATAAACTGCGACAAAGAATTTTTATAAAGAAATATTTATTTCTTAACTGCATAATATTTTTCAAGTTTCATCCATGTAAAACTCCCTGTAGCTATAAATTTATAGATTTAAAAAGCTTTACAATTAAATAGTAGATTGGTAACGTCGCAATATGCGGAAACAAATATCGTATGGTTATTCTTTTAGTTCCTGATAAAGAAAGAATATGCAATAATAACTCTTTGAAAAAGATAGTTTTACATTCTCTCTTTTATCTGTTATCAACTTGGCGTTTTCTTATGGAAAATTCATTGTACAGTTCCATGAAAATTCTATTGTATAGTAAAAAATAAAAAATGTCGAAAAATTTAAAGTATTAATTTAGGATAAAATTATAGAAAAGAAAAATTGGTTCTAACGTTTACTACGCTACTAGCTATATGAGATATGCTAAAAAGTTCTATTTGAAAACAATTATACATTTTCACATCCAAAGAAAGTCTCGAAGATTAAAATTAATAAGAAAATGAAAATAAATTTCGTAATTAAATATTGACAGATTTGTTGCTGCAGAAACTATAAATTAGCTACATTAAAATTCATAATTCATCAAACATTGGATTCGTTATGTCGTAATTATTCATCAATTTTAGTACGGAATTACTATTCAGTGACCTAAAAAAACTGTACGAGTTCTTGCAACAATTTGAAATGAAAACTTTTTCATTTGGACTGTAGGATTTCGCCGTTTTGAATTGGTTAGTTTAAATATTCCACTTGTATTGAACTGAATAAGTTCAATGTCTGTATATGAAATTATAATTAGAATAGCCGATTTTACAGTTCTAATTGCAACATTCCCACCAGCATAACGTAGACATTTTTAAAAGGCGTCTGAGGTATGGTTGTCCGAATTTGGAAGCCAGATTCGTATTTAACTGAAATTTAATTGAAAAACTATAATTGTACCTGTGCTCGTTTAAAAAAGTTATTCTTTTAACTGTTAGTGCGAATGAGAAAATAAGAATAGTCACGAGTGGCCGGAAACGTATCTTTGAATCTGAAGTAATAAAACTCTCGACTGAACACTTGACATACTGTTTCCCGCATCTTTATGCATTTTTGCGTGACTGCGATTGATCTGCCAACAAGATATTGCGGGTAAATACATATAAGTGATAACGATAAAAGTCCTCTTATTGCGAGGTCTTTCGCGCGTTAATGAGACGTGAATGTAAGATAAATGAGGTTAAGAGATTAAGCGGATACTCTCTTACACGTAAACGAAGCTGTAATGTTTAATCCTACGTTACTCGCGTGGGGGGTTAAAATACACTCGAAAACTTTCGTAGTTAGCTAAATTCACAGAGTAAAACTCTTTCATCAATAGAACGCTGTACAAATTGTCGTTTAAAGAAAAACTTTTGCATTAAACTTCTTCTCGAAGATATGTACATTATCAACCTTCATTCAATTGCAAATCGCAAAAAGAAACGGCGAAAATTGAGACCTAACAAATTGTGGGTAAACTACACACCCCAGTAATTATGTTAAAACGCACACCGAGAGTAATTATGTTTAAAAGAAAAAAAAATGCGAGAGTTACCTCTAAAAATAGGATTAATGCGTGTTTGGACGAAACGTCGTGTTTCATAAATTTGCACTGAATATCAAATCAAACGTATTGAAGGAAGCGAAAGCGATTATAGTACACGAGCCGGCTGACCAGATCTTGTGTTGTACTACTGTAATCGACGAAAGATACGATACAAGACCAACGTTAAAGAATATTCGACCGCGAAAGTCAATAAATAAAAAGTTTGCCGCAAAAGAGACGTGTACAGAATTGATTCTTTTATCTGATATAAACTTCTTACACGAGATGACCAAATAATTAGTATCGTCTCGGAGATGTTCTCTTAGCAAAACGAGCCTCAAGTTACTCATTAATGAGATATTCGTATTCTGATGTACATTTCATAACCGATTATCATCATGAATTGTGCGTATTATTACATCGCAGAGAAATATATTTTCCGACGTGACGAGCTGACAAATGATTTTCGCAATGATACTTGAAGATCGGAGCGACAAAAGGAAACTGAATATTCCGACGATACGTCACAATGCATTTTCGATCTGGTTCTACACGCTCGGTTTTTCTCATCGAAATTCGCCCCTTGATTGACAACTCGTGCCAGTGGATTTACGGCAGAGGAACGCGCCGCGTTCTATTATAAACGTATAAATCCAAAGCGAGTCTCTACATAGGAATGATATATAATTTTGTTAACGATAATAATCACCAGCGATTAGGGCAACGCGAGCCTGGATATCTCGCCGATATTATCGGAGAATTGTATATAATTATTGTGCAATCTTGCCTTAGTTCAGGGCAACAATGAGAGGGTTCTGTTCCAGATCAACGCAAGATGAAGCGACGTAAGCGAGTATAGGGGGATTTTGTTCTTACAGCTCTCTCTCCCTCCCTCCCCCCCCTCTCTCTCTCTCTCTCTCCTCCGATTTTTACAATAAATAAGTCTCGCGCGGCTTATGTCACACGGAAGCGAATTTCTGGCGAACTGTCAAAAGAGACTTACCGAGAGTAGACAGACATCTGTGCGAACAATCGGCCGTGTCGCAGCTTTGCCCCGCGTAGCACTTTAATCCCTCTCGGAGTGCGTGTCTCCCGTTCGAAAGTGGACCACTACTCGCACGAAATTACACCGGTAGAGAAATGTAGACAGAGAGAGAGAGAGAGAGAGAGAGAGGTGGGTAGACGGATAGGTAGGTAGGCAGGTAGGCAGGTAGGCAGGCAGGCAGACGAGACGCGCGCGCGCGCTCGCGTGCACGTAATACACGCACACACGTACTATTTGTCACGTAAATGTAGATGTATATATAATACTATATATATACATATATACACATATGTATATATATATAAATGTGTGTGTAGTGGCGGCGCGATGACGGCGGCGGCGGTGACAGCGTACCACGACTAACGAACACCTCGCGTTCCGCCCGCGAGCTCGCGCGGTGACTTTTGGACTGAGGGGGTAGTTTTGTTCGCCGCGCCGTGCCGCTACACCGCCGCCACCCCTCGAGCACAGGTGTTACTAACCACCGCCTCCTCAGTCGCAGCCACCCATCTCGCAGCACCACCCATCGTCCTATTGTTCCGCGAAACGATTGGCCGCGCGAGTGCGCGGCTTCGGCGCTCGCCCGGTCGCTGGTGAAAATAGAGCTCGGCGAGTAAGTCGAATGCACGGGGAGACGGAAGCGTACGCGGAAACTTCCGGGGGGGCGTAAAGGGAAGCGTAAATCAATTGTTTGTTCCTGTAGGGCGGCCCTGATCGGAACATCTTGCTGAAAGTACTGCGAAATCGAGCCTTATGAATGTAACACCGTGAAATATAAGGGGAAGCTAAAACTATATTGTTGACAAGCGATAAAAAAATTATGAAATGTTTTAGATGTCGTAAAATTTGTCAAGGGTTTATTAAAATTTTACGAAAAATTGTGTTATATTTCAAAAAAATTATTTTTTAATCAATTTTCACTCAAATATATGAATTAAATAATGAAACGAGGTCAACTGAAAGGATATTTCCGATGCATTTCGACAAAATTTTATCACGTTTCCAGTAAAATACATATACCGATCAGAAGATTCTATAGCAAAGCCTGAACTGCAACGGAAAAGCACCCTCAAATTTCGGGACAAAAACGTCGGTAATTACCGACATTTCTAACCGATTCCTGCATTATCGTTCAGCTCTAAGAACAAACTACTGAAAATATATTTATACATTCGCTCACACAGCTCACACTTGACCGGAAATGAACGTATATTTTTAAATAACTGCTATATACGCAATCGTGTGTATTTCAGACGTTTGAAATGCAATTGAAAAGATTTGTGAGTTTTTCGTTTATTTGTAATTAATTAATTATTTTTTCCGCCCTGCATTTAGCCGGAAGCCGGCGAAGAAAATATTAGTCATGTATACGTATATTACATATCTTAAAAACAGACTTACTCGTAATTGTCTAAAAGGACCTGCACCATCTCCGCCGATTCTAATCAGCGATCTTCTTTTTACTATCATAAACAAATTTTTATATATTTATTATTTATGTAATAATATTTTGTAATTTACAATATACATATACTGATGATTATCTGACGATGAACAATTATTCACTAGAGAATCATTTAAACATGTTCTTTTGTACAAGGTTGTTTCGTTTACATCGGATAATCACGATTGTATTCTCGTTGAATGAAATTTTGTATTATTCTAGTTACAAACGAAATACTACATCTATCTTAGATTTAAATGAAAATATTATCCGATAAAAAAGACCCTTATTAAATTTTAATCGGGCACATATCGCCTTGCGGTTTTAATACAAAAGAATGTTTAAATAATTTTCTAATGCATATTACCGAATAATGTGACTGTTTTATAATGTTATGCATTTTGTAAAGTAAATTGCAAGAAAAATAAAAGAAAATAAAACCGAAAGACCAACTTATTGTAAAGGAAAGAGGATCGCCGATTGAAATTAGCGGGGGTGGTGGAGGGCCTCTCAGTTGGTCTGTTTTTATATCAGATAAAATTTTAGTTAAGGCTAAAACAGAGATATTATTTTATTTATATTTAGTAAAATACAAAATTTAATTATATCAAAATGCAATCGGAAGGATATCCGATGTAAACGAAGAAATCTTGTAGAAAAAAATTTTTTTTTTAAAGAAATCTATTTTATAAGACATCGATACAAATATTCTGGAGAAAGAATACTATCTGTATCTGTATCTGTCTCCGAAAAAATAATGAGTATATCTTGTACGTACATCTAAATCAAAGAAATGAAAAAAATGTAACTACATTTGTATCTCTTCATTAAGTAAATCAAAGATTTATCTTGTATCGGTATCTTTGATTTTAAAAAATTAAGATACCAAGCTCTGCTGGTTTCTCAACAAATTGCTGTTTTATAAAATAAAACTTTTAAAAAAGAGATTAAGTGTTAAGTCTAAAAAAATTTTATCACAATAATAGGAGAATAATTATAACACAAAATTGATCGAACTGTAACTGCTGGAAATGACAAATGCGGAAGGAATAGTGGTCTCGTCGACATGAACTGTGCGAAGTATATCGCTATGTTCTGTGCGCGCGCAATAGTTATTAAGTAATGTAATTGGAATCTAATAACAACATTAGAATATAATTAGATAGATAACATGATTACGAATTTTTGAGTTTGCTTTTTCCATAAATAACGAGCAAGACAGACTCTAACAAAAATCTCTCTTGTTAAGTCTAGTTAAGAGATAGAACAACTGCATCACGTAAAGCATTTATTTATGCCAATATAAAGAAAGTCGAATCTTTAGAACGGATTAAGACTCATCTAAAGGTTGTGGAATCAATGTTGATTGATTGACAAAAAGATTAAACCTACAGTTCAATTGCAAAAGTTTAAAATGATGATTTTGAACATTGATACATTAAAAGCGAATTAATATAGAAACTACTGAAGTTTGAATTTTATTTGTAATTATTGTAGGACCTCTTTTTTTAATAAATAAAGGAGAAAGATAGTTGTTATTGAGACGGACTTGCAAATTTAGTATAAATGAATTTGAAATTCAATTCTCTCTAGTTATACTTTGTAGCGGAAGCATTATATCGGAAAATGCACGTGTTGACGACATATTTAACCATAATATTGGTAACATTATCTATAATAGCCGTATAGCGATAAACAAAATGCCTGCAGACGACTGTAAACGTTTTGTCCTTTGATAATTTCTACTAATTATTAGTATATTGTACACGCAGTCTAAGTGAGCAGTGTCTTTTCTACCGTTAAAATGGATGCTCGTTGTCTTATATTTTTTCTTTTTTGTTTTATGAGTAAGTATTTATATTGCAAATTTTATAAACATTTGACATTAAAATTACGAAATTTAATAGGCCATTTACGTTATGGACTTTTATACTATGCAGTACAAAGAATTATCAATGGACACAGCACATATATTAATTCAGTTCCTTTCATGGTAAGCAAAATATTATATATATCTATATCAAATTTAAAGTATCATATATTTTATGTGTATATACAATATATAATATTTTCAATTTGATATAACGTACTCATGGTTCACTAACACATCCTGTGTTGTATATAGAGTGTGTCAGTGAACCATGACTACTTTTGGAAAGCTGCCATTTTAAAACGATTTCTTAACCATTCGATTCTTATAAACGTTAAATGAGTGTTTAGGAAAGAGGCAATTTTTATTTAATACTGCTAATCGTGAGTGTCATTAAAGAAGTTTTACCAAACTCAAATATACAGGGTGAGTCTTTCCATATCCGACAAAATTTTTGAGAAGGTAGAACGGATCGAGATGAACGGAAAAGTCCTGTACCATTTTGCAATTTTCGTAATAGTTAACGAGTAATTAATTATTAAAAATCGTTGTCTTAGGCCGGCCTACCGCCCAATTCGAGCGCGTGGCAAGATGTGACCGCTTGGCGATCGATATTGCTATGCGCACATCTCGCCACGCGCTCGAATTGGGCGGTAGGCCAGCCTAAGACAACGATTTTTAATAATTAA